TAGGTACAATGTGTGGTGCATTAAAAAATAAATAAATAAATAAATAAAAGTAGAATGTGTGGCGAGTGAGATGTGTAATATTCTTTTTTTTTAATTAAAATATAATAATTGTATATGTATTCTAAAAAGTATTAAATTTTAACTGAAAAGTATTACATATTTGAGGCATGATCTTATAAAGAACTTATTTATTTAGGAATATTTTTAATCATAGTATAAAATAGAAATGCTAATTCTATTCGTTTATAACTAGTTTTTTTTTAATTTTCTAAAAAATTGAAGAATATAAAGTATAAAATATGTTTACTTTCACAATTTTTCATTTTAAAAATTGGAAATATAATTTATGAAAAATATTTTTAGAATACAAATCTATATCTCTTAGAAATTATTATTAGCACCATTTTTTAAAAAAGGACAATTGTTATCACATGTCATCATTGCCACATCAGCGTGATATGATATGCCGTTCAACTTAACTTTTGTTCTATTAATTTATTTAGTCACTAATATATTAATATCAATATTTACAAAATAAATAACTAATACTTAAAAAAAAAAAAAAAAAAAAAAAAAAAAAAAAAAAAACTAATACTTTCAAATAGAGTTATTGTCGATTGAGATCCTCCGAGTATAATAGTTTTGCCATGTTTAGTCCTAAACTTTCAAATTGACCCATTTGTGGTCCTTCGACTTTCAAATTTAACCATTCGTAGTCCAAGTTAACCACACATGGCTCTCCAATTTTCAAAATTTAACCAACCATAGTCCTTTCAAGAGGACCGCATGTGATTAAATTTTGAAAGTTGAAGGATTATGGGCGGTTAACTTGGACCACGAATGGTAAAATTTGAAAGTCGAAGGCCTACAAATGATCAATTTGAAAGTTTAGAACTAAACGTGACAAAACTACTATACTCGGAGAACCCATATGACATTAACTCCTTTCAAATATATTTAAACTGTTAACCTTTTATGGAACTATTATTTGTCTACTCCACCTTACTATGTAATTACTTCAACACTACTTTGTGGAATTTAATTAAAGACCATATTAAGATTAGCATTGTAGAGAATTTTATTTACATATTCTTTTTTAAAAAAAAAAAAGTTGCATACACATTTAAACAAAGTTAATTTAATTTTTAAAAAATTATATTAATAGCAAAAAATTAAAAATAACAAATTTCATTTTTCAATTTATTCATATAACTAGTATTTTTACCCGTGCGGTGCACGGAATAGATTTGTTATAATATTTTAAGAATATTTGAATCGATATACAATTATATAAATTATAACATCGAATGTTATATAATACAATTGAAGAATTGAGTTGTATCGATTGTATTTTCTAATGTTATTATTGCTTAAATTCGAGCAAATAATTGTTTAATTAATAGCCAATGTGTAGATGTACACATCCGATGCTGAAAGTTTAGAGATTTTATATATCAGTGTTTATGATTTGTATTAAGTGGCAAATTTGCTCGTTGTCTAGCAACCCAATTTTATAAATCATTTGATATCCTAATTTTTTTGTATGGAAGATATATTTTTGTGTAGATATATATACCAATTTTGTCATCATCGCATAAAAAGAAAACACAATATCGCTGGTTGAAATTACACATTATTGAAAACCTCTTTGTAGACGACATTGGTAGTAGTAACAAGAATCTTGACCACCCTCGTATAGAGCTAACACCTTCAGGCCATCAGGATGGGTGACTCGGAAAAAAAAAAAAAAAAAAAGTCACATAAAATATATCATTGCCCATTGCATTACTATTTTCTCTGGGAAATTAATGAACTCGGATCCATATGTATCTCATATAATACACATACTATAGTTATTTCGTTTTCTTTTTGAAATAGTTAATCAGTGATCATTTAGAATTTTGAATCAAATAGTATTATTCATTTCATTTTTCAATTGGCCTAATTTATGTGCCATTTTTAATCACAGTCAATTATTTTTTTAATACATATCAATTAGTTAATTATTAATAATAGATTTTTTTTTAAATATTTCCAGTCAATTATTAATTATAGATTCTTTGTCCAATTTACCTATACTATTGTGAATCTGTTTCCTTTTCGAAATAGTTAATGCAGATCATTTTTAATTTTCTCTATCAATTATTAATATTCATTTCCTTTTTTAATTGCCATATAATTAACATAGTCATGCAATAATGTAGTAACAATCTTCTCTATGCAAAGTATTCTCAAAATAGTTTGCTCATTGCATGACTATTTCCTCTAAAAATCAATGAGTTCAGATCCATATGTATTCCATATAATACCTATATTATAGTTAATCCGTTTTCTGTTCGAAATAGTTAATTGGGGATCATTTTTAATTTCCAGCCAATTACAAATATTCATTTCTTTTTTCAATTGGCACAATTTCCGTGCCATTTTTTTTTATCTCAGTCAATTATTATTTTGTTATTACATATCAATTAATTAATTATTAATAATAGATTATTTTTTAATATTTCCAGTCAATTATTAATAACATATTTATTTTCTAATTTATCTATAATATTATTTGGGTGGTCTGACCATTTCCTTTTTCAATTGAATCAAATTGTGATCATTTTAAATTTTTAATCAAGTATTAATATTCATTTCCTTTTCGAATTGACCTAATTTCCATGCTATTTTTATTATCAGTCAATTATTCTTTTTAATACATATTAATTAGTTAATTATTAATAACAGATTTATTTTTAATATTTTCAGTCAATTATTAATAACTGATACTTTTTCCAATTTACAATAATATAGTTAATCCGTTTTCTTTTCGAAATAGTTAATATGTGGATTATTTTTAATTTTCAGATAATTATTAATATTAATTTCCTTTTTCAATTGGCCTAATTTCCATGTCATTTATATTCTCAGTCAATTATTTTCTTAATACATATCAATTTATTACTAACAGGTTCTTTTTTTTTTAATATTTTCAGTAAAATATTAATAATAGATTCCTTTCTCAATTCACATATACTATTGTTTAGGCGATTAGGCCATTTTCTTTTTCATTTTGATTAATTTGGGATCATTTTTAAGCGACCAATGCTTGCCCAGCAGTGATGGACAAGCAAATCGTTCCGTAAATCATTAATGGACTGTTTGGTTCATGGAATAGGTCTAGAATGACATAGCATTCCCAGTAATAGGCATATTCCTCTGTTTGGTAACCCCTTGTATTCCCAGGAACATTGTTCCCGGGAATGACCTATTCCCCTTGCAAGGGGAATAGAGATTCCTGGGGGGCCTTGATATTAGACTATTCCTGAGTTCTCAAGAATAGCCTAAAGTTTCTATTTCCTATTTTACCCCCCAATTAAATTAATTCCCTATTTCACCACCGCCGTTGCCGCCACCGCCGTCGTCGTCGCCATCGCCGCTACCACCACCAGCACCGCCACCACCATCACCATCACCACCGCCACCATCGTCATCGTCGTGGCCGCCGCCACCACCCCACTAGTACCACCACCCCAGCAGCACCACCGCCACCGCCCACCATAGCCACAACTACCACTGCCGCCGCCACCACCACCGCCACCGCCACCGCCACCACCGCTACCACCACCGCCGACAACACCAGCACCAGCACCCCAACACCGCCACCACCACCACCACCATCACCGCCGCCGCCACCACCACCACCATCACATATTTTATAAGGGTATTTATGTCTTTTAAAACATATTTCATTTTTATTCCTTAAATCAACCAAACACTGTTATATAATCCTAAAGTCTATTTCTTCCACGAACCAAACAATAGAATACACTTCCTATTCTATTCCTTGCATATTCCATTCCTTATGGAATAACATTCCTATTACCTCAAAATTCATTCCGTGAACCAAACGTGCTGTAAGGGGGCAATGCTCCTCTTATATAAAGGAGCTCTTTGAGCAAATTATTTTGCCATATTGCATCCTTGACTTTGAGCAACTTCCACTTTTAATCCTCAACTATTGTGGCATTGTCATATTTAGTTCTGTTCTTTTAATTTTGTCATATTACATCCTTGACTTTGAGCAACTTTCTTGTTTACTCCACGATTAGTCTTTCGTTAAAAATTTCATTAATTTACAGTTAGATTTGACAAATAACAAAAGAAAAATCCTTACACATATCGTAACTCATATTTTAACACCTTAGAAACATTGTAAATATCAAATGATGTAATATTGTAACTTATAGAAATTTAAGTTACGATATGGGTAAGAATTTTTTATTTGTTATTTGTCAATTCTACGGTCAATTAAAGAAATTTTTAACGGAAGACTAATGGTGACAATCAAATAAAAGTCATGGATGTTATATAGCAAACTTAAAAGAATATGACTAAATATGCCAATAAGACAATAACACAATAGTTGAGGACTAAAAGTGGAAGTTGCTCAAAGTCAGCGATATAATATGACAAAATTAAAAAAAAAAAATATGACTAAATGTGACAATGTCACAATAGTCGAGGACTAAAAGTGGAATCAACTCTTTTTAAAAAAAAAAAAATTAATAGCAAATTATTGTGAACCATTATTCATATTATAGGGTGGATCATTGATAAATATTTACTATTAAAATGGTGAGTATTCAATTTTATATATTATATGTTAATTTTTAGATATTACACTATAAGTAAACATATAATATATTGAGAATTTTGAGTACAATAAAAATAAATTTTTAATATAATAAAAATAAATTTATAAATTAAAAATCTACCTGACAATTTGGATAGTTTAAAGATTGAGTTTAGTGGCCAAGTACCTTCTACTTAAATGACATGTAATGACTCTTCAATATGAAAGGTTATAAGATCGAGTCTCAGTGGAAGCGATGGTTTAACGTGTTCAGAATATTCACAAGTCACAACAACATGCTGATTTATCATTTACGTATTTGGGTCACCCACTTCCCTTTGATATTTGAAAAAAATAAAATAAAAAAAATCACAACAACGTAAAACGGCTTAAACTTGGGATTAATTACAATTATCTAAAATTTCGAAGTACAATATCTAAACTCTAAAGTACGGGTTTGTCCCGCCTTCTTCACTTTATGACACTTTAACCCTTTTGACTAAAACTTGTTTTAAGAAACCTTTAATCACGATAATGCCCTCTTACTCTTTTAAAATTACATCTTTTGCTATCCTCATCAGCGGCTTGATCGAGTCAGGAGAGAACTTCCTAGCGAACAAAAACGGGTCATGCCGTTTCGTCAAAGACGGATCGGAGCCGTTCATCTCCTCATGACCGTAGCGTGGGCGGTCATTTCGAAGGGTTAGGATTAATTCCGGTCCCACGTCGTGTTCACTGTACATCCGCGGGTGACCGCCGTGACTCCCTTTCCAGTCCACGTGCGTGAGCGTCGCGTGGGAACACCCTTGCGGGTCTACCATGCTCAAGAGCGTAGAGAAATATTGCTCCTCAGGGTAACACGTGTCGCGAAATAAGCACGGCTGCTTGAACTTTGACCAAAACCTTCGGTCACGCACAACAATCCTGGCGTGCTTACGTGTCAGGATGTAGAACTGGGACCCAATTCGGAAATCCTCAAACCTCACCTCCGGCAGCATCGCGGAATCCCCACGCGCCGCCCACCTGTCGTAGGCCCACGGCTCTCTACCCAGAATCTCGATGAAACTCTTGTTCGAGTTCATCACGGTTTTGTAAGTGAAACCGAAGGAGTGAAGCGGAATGCAGAGCGGGGAGAGGAGGGCGAACATGTAGTTCGACTTGTCGTGGAGGAGCGCGTGCGCGAGCAGTCGCCGCGCCGCGGCGGCGAGCGTGGGAGTGTTCCGGCGAGTTGGCTTCGACGGAATTACGCGGCCGGCAAACACGCCGCCAAACGGCGGAGTGTAATTGTACCTGTAGAATAATAATTGACGTATAAAATTGCAGAACAGAATGGAATATATATTTTAAATGATTATGCTCTATATCTTATTTATTATTTATAGAAGATAAGGGAATAGAATTATTCAGCTAAAAATAATAATAATAATAATCAGAATTATAATGATGGTTCAACATTACCTCGGGTCCGCGTGTACGTATACGTTGTACAGATTCTCCGGCGTGGCATTGAAGAAGAGCTCCCACAGCGGCGCAAATGGAAGCGGCGTGGTAGTGAGGAACATAAAAGCCAATTTCTTCGGCTTCGTGGCGGGTCTCTGGTCCGACCCGACCCGACCCGCAAGTCGTAACAGCGAGCCGTCATCCTCCTCCTCTGGCGGCGGCGGTTGAAGCGGTGCCTTCGTCCTCCCAATCGGCGGCGGCGGCGGCGGTTGAAGCAGTGCCTGCGTCCTCCCTATCGGCGGTGGTGATAACGTAGTAACGGTTGATTTTCTCTTAACTTTCCCGTCATTCCCATCCTCCGGCAAAGGGTAATTTCCCTTGCCGGCGGTGGCGGCGGGGGAGAGAGGGGAATTTATGGTAACAATGAAGGCGAGTGGCAAACAAAGAAGAAGGGCACAAAAGAGAGACAGTGGAGAAGGAAACAACATCATGGTAACTTCGTACTCTCTCTCACTGCTACTTTACAACAAAAGAACCAACAGAGAGAAACAACAGATCGATCATCGTAGAGAGAGAAAAGGTGGAAGATAATGGGATTTGGTAATGGATTATTGGGATATTAAAAAAATAGTTTGTCAACAATAATTAACAATAACCTATGTGCTTAAGATAATAACCACGCTATTTAAGCACTAATCCGGATAAAACACTTGCAGACACAGAATAAACGTTATTGGAAAAGCGTTAGCCATCTCTGACGGCGATGGGCACAAAAACGACATGTTTGGTAAACTCTAGTTGTAATTTAATTAAGGAGTTAATACCCAAAATCGTCCTCGACTATAGTGGTTTTTCTCAATTTCGTCCTAAATGACTTTGGTGACCTAATATCGTCCCAGACTTTTGTGTTTCGCTCAATTTCGTCCTCCATTTGTTATTCCGTCAAATTGTTGTTAAATAAAGGGACAATTCAGTAATGTCAATATTGATCTCTCTTTACTTTCAACTTCTGAAGTGCGAAATTTCTCTTTCTTGTACGAATTACACCCAGAATTACTCCCGGACCTGCAAATCAAATTTTATATTCGCAGTTTTAGGAGTAATTCGTAAAAAAAAAAAGGATTTCGCAGTTCACATGTCTATGAGTAAAGAGATGCCAATATTAAAATTACTTAATTGTCTATTTATTTAACACCAAATGGACAAAATAACAAATGATGGACTAAATTGAGCAAAAGCACAAAAGTCTGGGACTAAATTGTGTGAAACACAAAAGTCTGGGACGATATTAGGTCACCAAAGTCGTTTAGGACGAAATTGAGAAAAACCACTATAGTCGAGGACGATTTTGGGTATTAACTCTTTAATTAAGTCTCGAAGCACAATTATATTGTTTGGTTGGAATGAATTATAATTTCATATCCTATTTGTGAAATTGGAATTCATAAAGTTTTCCTTATGAATTTCAATTCAGTGATAGTTAAAAAAGAGGAAAAAAAAAGAAGAAGATGAAATTACAACATTATTCTTAATGATGATTATTATTAAAGATATTTTAGTGTTTTTCTTTCCATTCACAGAAATTTTATTTCTACTCATCAAACAATATAATTTGAACCAAGGACTTTATGATCTAATGCTATCAAGTTACTCTTTTATGTGAGAAGTGATGGGTTCGAGCAAGGCATATTAACTTGTATATTTAAATATTTTTTTCTTTTATAATAATATAATTTAAATTTATAGTTAATTTTTAACTTTTCTTTTTTCTCACAAAATTGCAATTCTTTTCTCTCATATTCATTCATTTCACCCAAACTCCCAAACGCTCTGCACATGCTTTTACTTTAGTTTGTGCCTAACACCTCAGTTTGTACTTTGTAGACAGGACCACCCGGGTATGGGAGTTGACGACGGAGGATTAAGTGATTAACGGCGTTGAGATGAGGTGCACACGTGGCTGACATGCAGGTAGATGGGGCCTACGTATTTGGTGGGGTACAACGTTGGCAATGTGTGGGGTCACAAGAAGCTCACAGCATATCCGCATGACGTGTGAATTGTGAAGTGAACACACGTGAGAGGCAGGGGGCATGACAACAAAAAATGTGAGGAGGATAAGTAAAAGAATTAAAGAAAGGAATAACGACTAAAAAACCGTAAAAAAGAAGAAATTAATAATGATGCATACACTTTAAGATTCTTGTGTTGTTAGCAGAAATTTTGAGGCAAGAATAAAATGAGTGTTTGGTTGAATGGAAGAGACTCATCCATTCTTAATTAAAGATTAAAAATTTAATCAATTTTAAATACGGAGTAGTCTTAAACTTCTAATACAATTCAACGAGTGAATTAGACACTGTGTTTGACCGTGAAAACCTAAGTATATCCATTTTTTTTTGAGGCAAAAATTGTTATTTATGCAATTGGATCTATTATAGAGATTTTATTATATTCTTGTTATACAACAACAACAAATTAATTTTTTAGCAACACATACTTTGGGGTAGTTATATACAATTAACAGTAGCTAAATAAGTATATCGTGACAGTTATAGAAACTGGAACTAAATGAATAGTTGTTAGCAACAATTTCTTATGGCAGTTTGTTATAGTCGCTAGGAAACATTAACTTATTTTCATTCAATGTGATTTTTAACAGCGATTATTTTTAACTGCGGCTAAAACTCAACTAAATTTAATTTATAATCATTGCCATTCAATCCCCTTCAAAAATATTTCCTTTCAACCATTATCCCTTCTTCATTTTTTCTTCCATCCCCATCAATTTGCGCTTTGCGATTTGCGCAGATCAATCGGTTCCTTTATCAATTTGGAAATCAACCTACCATCCATAACCTGGTTAAAAAACCACCGCTAAAAGCAATCATCCTAGTTAATAATTCCCTGTAGTAAACTCTCGTCCAATCTTTCGTGATACTCTATTTAGTCACGAATGAATAAACGCCAGTAAGATATTTATGACGGTTACAAACCGCCACTAAATAATAAATTAATAATATAATCGCTCTTAAATGACATTTTCGGTGTAGTGTACATGTCATGCTTTGCTATGTATTTATTGACTACTCATAAATTGAACAATTTAACTACAAATAATTATTTAAAATCACATTCATCTAATATTTTACTTTCTCAATTATTTAAAACTACTTTAACCTACTGAAGCACAAAAAGTTACTGCATCCACTGAATCTCAAACTCACAATCTCTCATATGAGAGTCCAACTTTGGTGCCATTAAATCACAAGGTCTTAGCTAAAATTGTCATATTTGATAATTATAAATTGTTATAATTGATAAATTTATTAATGATACGTCATAATTATATATATATATATATATATATATATATATATATATATATATATATATATATATATATATATATATAGAGGTTCGGGTTCTGGTGCGCTTGGCACTATTAGGTGTGGATGTGCGGTTGTAAGGCTGTCGTTCGTTTTTAATAAGTTAAAATATTTTCACCGTTGATCTCAAAGATCTAAATTCGCGTATTTTTCTTGTATTCGCGTACGGAGGGACAAATTAGTAATTTTGAATAAATTAACTTTCATCGCTGTTCTCCATCGTCGTTCGCATTGCCCGCGACTTTGTTTTTGTTTTTCAAAGAATCATTCAGTTGTCTATCTTCTCTCGGTCGTTTAGCATTGCGGTGTCCATTGTTGGTGTTTCCAAATCTTTTTCCATTCTCTGTCGCTATATAATATTTATTTGTCGTGGATCTACATTTGTTCTTTTTCATCTCAGAAAACTGATCTTGTTTATTTGGTTTTGAAAATGGAGCACATTAAGTTATATTTTTGAAGCACACTGTGTAATACGTGCACGCATAGTAAGTGTTAGACGGACCGACGCTCATTAAAGATATATGAGACGCATATTAAACATATATGAGACGCATATTAAAGAGATCTGACACGCATATTAAAGGGATATGAGACACATATTAAAGAGTTATGAGAGAGATGATTTATTTTAGTTGGTACTCAACTGAACGCACATCAATATTTGAGGTCCCGCATGTTGTACTTTAATAACTCGCATTTAATGGTGAATTTGAACGCACATTAATTTATTTGAATTTGTATTCTTTTTTTTTTTTTATATATTTGTTTTTAATAATTATTATTTTCCATGTTATTTTATTATGCAAATGAACGCACAGTAAGATATGAACTTACGCAAGTTGTAATGTAATTTTTAATACAGAATATCAACGCATATTAACTTTGGTTTATAAACATGTTAAGAGTTTTCATGTTTATTTTTTTTCTTTATTTTATTTCAATTACTTATTTATGACGAAAATGAACGGACATTAAATTTTTTTAAAAAGCACGTTCAATGCTCTGTGGACGCATATTATGATTATCAATTGTATTAATTAATAAGGTGATTTTTAATATGCATCCATGCCACATATAATTTGCGTGAAAATATATATTAATGTGTTTGTAAACCAAAGGAGTTTATATCAAGATGCTGAACTACTGTAATGTCATAAAACCTTTAACACTAAAAAATATTCACTATTTTTCCTCTTTAATACCAGCCTTTTGCATGTTTTTTCGAGACAGTTCATTGATTTCAGCAGTTAAAATTGCTGTTATGTATTTGGCCCTAAGGTCTGCAAGATCTGATTGTTTATTTTTACTGTTGTCATCTCCCATGTATGTTTGCATGATGCACATTGTAAATACTCCAGAATCGTCTTTCTTCTCGGTATCACTCCATTGCATTAGCATTCGCTAAGGTGTAATCTTTTTTAGTCTGTTTGCAGCACTGTATGAATCCCTTTGGTTCAAATATCTCACAAAGTAGTCTTTCTGCAAATAAATAGAAAAGCATTAAAAACAGAAAAAACTAAACTTCATAAAATGTTTTAAAATGTGTGATTTAGTACTCACCAAAAGAAATGGTATATCACCACCATATTTGGCAATACCAGCATCATCAGCAGAAGAGTTGTTAAGTATGTGTATGGATGTGTGATAAACATCCAAATCAATGCAGATGACATATATTTGATCAGTTGCAATGACTGGGAAAAAGAACTGCATTTTGTACATGTTAGTTCGGAGAAGTTATAAATTCAAATGTAATGTAAGTATGTAGAATTTAATTTACCAAACGATAGTTTGTAGGGTCACGAGTAGCAGTGTCAATGTCATGATTAACACTTTCTTGAAACTTTTCATACATTTGATCAGTACTGTATGCAGGTGGTTTATACACAATAGAAGATGCCTACAGGAGTATGATAATCTTGTCAGCAATGCAGTATGTGCTCCAAGACATTTGTTAATGTGCATGAAATTGTAAATCAATAATAAAATAACTTACAACTGGTGTTGTTGAGAAAAAGAATCTTCTTTTGTTAGGATACTTAAAGGTGTAGGCCTCCATGCTATTTAGAATTAAAGCCCAAGTATCCAAAACACCAGCTTCTATACGTTCACCCTTCCTCAATGACCTCAACTCAATCATCAGTAAACGTTTCTCTCCATGTTTAAAAACAAATTCACACCTACAAAAAAATCAGATATGAAGTAAAAAAAAAAAAAAAAAAAAAAAAAAAAAAAAAAAAAAAAAAAAGAACAAGACTCACAC